ATTCTCTTCATTACTTTGCATTCTAACTGCTGTTGGGCTTCAACCACGGAGACTCTGCCCTGACCAGCAGCAGCAGTAGGGCTGGCCCGGAGGCAGAGCCACAGCAGGGGCAAGGAGCTGAAGGAGCACCAGGGAGAGCGGGGAAGAGAGAGGCTGGTGAGACAAGGCCTGGCCTGGAATTTTAAAGGTTTTTATTAACAAGATAATTTAACACTACTTAACTAATTATATACTAACTTAATACAACTAAAATGTCATCTTTCTGATGACTGTTGTTACAGGCGCTTCTCGCTTCTCACAAGATGTCCCAGGTCGAGGACTGGGTGATGAGTCCTGTCCATGTGGCTGGGGGCTGTTGATGTCCGGCTGGACTGGAGAGGCTGGTCGAGCCCTGGGGCCCGTGAGACCTGTCGGGGAGCTGTTCGTGGCTGGTGCTCTTGTGAGGCGGCAGGGCCTGGGGGTGAAGTAAGGGTGAGCTGCCACAGCTGCTGGCCCCACCCACCAGAACTCAAACACTTGTCCCACACTGGCCATGGCCATTTTCCCACCTCACTCCAGCACCAAGCTGAGTTACCCCATGAACCAATCCTCCCAATCCATTCTGCCCCTTCCTTCTTACGCCTGACGCAAAATACCCATGCCACATTAGCCAGATCTGCACACAGAGCGTTATTCATTCTACAGCCCGTACCCAGCAGATAATCAGCCCCCTGTTCATTATCCCCCATGCCCTAACGGGGCCATACCTGATGCATCCTCTGTCCTGATTGCCATACGATGCTGGTCATTACGGCTCCTCGAGATGTGTCCCTCACTGGGCTGCAGCAGGGTCACACTGGGCTGAGGAGGAGAGGGCAGCTGGCTGCAATGCAGGGCCCAATCCAGCATCCCCCAATGAACCTCCCAGCCCAGGTCTCCCTGGGAACTGAAGGCACAGATTGCCGCTGGATAGTCAGCAATGCCATCAAGCCTCAGTCGCCATTCTGTGTCCCCACCTTCATCATGCCTACCTTGTTGTGGAGTACCAGGAGACGCTGCAGCTCTGCACTTGTGTATGGAGAAGCCTTGATGTTCTGCATGGTGGAGCTGCGGCTCTGATGGTCCCCAGAGCTCTGCGGCACACGGGGGACCCTGCCATTGACCAATTGCCTCCTGTGGGATGGGGCAGAGGATCCTCAGTGAGGACTATCACAGGCATGTGCCTGTTTTCTTTCTTTTTTTTGTTTTTAATGTCAGAGGTGCTCATAGCCTTGACAAGAAAATCCTTATTTGACTTGTATGTTTGCTTGGAGAGTTCATCACCTCTGTGTGCTATGTGTCATTTTCTAGCTAAATTTTGAAGCTGGCTGCTCTTAACCTGGGTGATGTTGACCTTTTATATCTTTGACATATTTACTCTTATTTGCTTATGCCCAGTGCTTGGTATTAGCCAGTTTTTCTTAAGGATCTGTGCAGGAGACAGGAAAATTTTTGTCTACAATCATGGTCTTTATTGATGTAGAAATACTTCCCTGCTTGTTATTGATAGTGGGTTTGGTTGTGCTTTGTTTTTAAGTGAGTTTTGATGAGTGCTCCTTTGCTGTGGACCTGTGTATGCTAATTATATGCTTTACGTGGCCAAACAGCAGCCAGATGTAAATCTGGATTCCCAATAATGTAGTTTAAATTGAGCCTTTATGTTGTAGGCCTGTTATGAACGAGGGATGGAGGTCAGCGTGGTGCCAAAAACCTCTGCTTCCACGGATTCCCCTTGGCTGGGCCTCGCCAAGTATGCCTGGTCAGGGTGAGTACTGCAGCTGGGATCTCTCTGCTCTCTGTGGTCTCTGTGCTGCCTGGTGTGTGGGACTTGCCAGAGAGGTGACCTGTCCCCCTCCTGTGCAGGTACGTGATCGAGTGCCCCAACTGCGGCGTGGTGTATCGCAGCCGGCAGTACTGGTTTGGCAACCAAGACCCTGTGAACACTGTAGTGAGGACAGAAATTGAGCATGTCTGGCCAGGGGTAAGTCTGGTTGCTGGATAGTCTTTGTGTATGTGTGCAGCCATGCACATGCTAATTTGGTTCTGCTGGATGTTGATGGAGAAAATAGATTGCCTTTCATTAAGCTGGTCCCTGCTATTCAAAAGAGACTTTGCAAGGGCTTTCAGACATCTTTTGGCTATCTTGAAATGGCTAAGTTGCCAACCTCCTTCTGTCTTTCAAAGCAGGGCTGGTGAATCTTTTACTCCTGCTTGCCCTCCAGTTTATCAGGAGTAATGGGTTGCAGAGCCATCTGAATCTAAAAAAAAAAGGTTTTCCTGTTTTTATTCTCAAATCAGTATCTGTTTCATTCCAGACTGATGGATTTCTGAAAGACAACAACAACGCAGCCCAGCGTTTATTGGATGGCATGAATTTCATGGCTCAGTCAGTATCTGAACTTAGCCTGGGACCTACAAAAGCTGTGACCTCCTGGTTGACAGACCAGATTGCCCCAGCTTACTGGAGACCCAACTCTCAGATTCTGGTAAATAGCACCTGCTGGAGAGAAAGACTTTGCCTAGCTAAAACCCCTTTTCCTTACTCTTTAAGTAATAAAGTATTTTGCAGATTCTAAACACTTCTTTGTTTTACTGCAGCAATCCCTACTGCTTCAGCTTTGAGAAACTGAAGTGCTCTCTCCTATTCCCATTCTTAGCCAAAGAAATTATGAACAGAGACTTGGCCCAGCCCTGATGAAGAGACAGTTTCTCCCTGCTCTTTGTGAGCTACTATCCCAGCAATATTACAGAAAATCCTGGCTTGCATGCCTTTGTTTTTCCAAGCAAATAATCAACATCTTAAATCTGGCCACTGCAGTTGGTAATACTATTTTTATAGATTAAACTCTGGTTTCATACCAGGTGCAAAAAGCTGACCCAAACAGTTCAACTAGGAAAAGATTCCCTTTGTCTTGTGGGAAATAGATTCTTTTTCAATGACAACTACCTTGTGAATTCTTACTTCACACAAAGGTCAAATATCCATCATTCAGCCCTGCATGATATGACTGTGTTTATTTGTGATTATGAACGAAGGGATCATAGCAATATATTGGCTTAACCAATATACACCTACTGTTCTAAATCACTTCCCTGGGGTAAAGTTATAGGGCTGATAGCACCCATGTCTTGTGTGTAACTTTATTTTTCAAAATTTCAGTCTGAAACTTGCCATCCTGGGCTTCTGCTCTCTATTTTTTTTACTTCAGGAAGATCAAATTAACAGTTTTTCCTTCTGTGTTGTTCTGATCAGAGCTGTAAGAAGTGCAACACACCTTTCAAAGATAACGACACAAAGCATCACTGCCGGGCCTGTGGAGAGGGCTTCTGTGATGGCTGTTCTTCCAAGACCCGTCCAGTGCCTGAGCGAGGCTGGGGACCAGCACAGTGCTGAGAGGAGGTCAGCAGGAGATTCCTTGTGATCCCTGAATGGAGTTGTCTTGGGGGATGCTCTGACCAAAAAGTGGTTTTAGCCACCTACCGTGATATCCTTCTGCTTTTGTTGAGAGTCCTTCTGGAGCATCCCTGAGGCAAGGTTGAGTTTCTCATAGTCTTTTTGGATCTGCAAAAACTTGGCTTCCATTTGCTGTCTCAGCTCCTGATCCTGCTCCCGGGATGGAAGAACATAAGGTGCTGACCCAAGGGGGGTCTGTCTGCTCCACAGGGGCAAACACACACGACTCAGTCAGTGGCCATGAGCCCACCATGTCAAGAGGACATTTGTATCAAGGCTTTAATGACTGTCCATGCCACTGACTGGTCCAGGCCAATTTGGGCAGTTTGGCTCTCCCATAAGATTACAGCAAAGCACAACAGAGCAGGAAGATGTGGCATGGAGCTGCAACAGGACTGTGCCAGGAGTGGTGGGAGTGCTCCCCCAGGACTTCACCTGCTCATTCAGCTGGTCGGCTGTCTCATTCAGCATCTGCTCCAGCATGGCATTCCTCCTCTCCTGCTGCTCTCCCATCTTCTGCAGCTCACGCTTTGTCTCCTGCCGCAAAGCCCTGGCCAGCGGGATGGGGGCAAGGGCAGGGTTACCCCTGCAGGGCTGCTGGGCACCTTGTGCCCACAAACCAGGATGCAGCCAGACCATCTGGGCTCCCTTGCAGCCCCCCAGGGTATGAAACCCACTCCTGTCCTCTTACTCAATTTGCTGAGAGATCTCCTTACTGCTCTCTTCTTTCCACTTGGCTATATCCTCCCTCAGCTTTTTAAGGTCTTCCTCCAGCTTCTTCATCTGGAAAGGACAGTGACAGTAGAGTCAGGGCCCAGCCATCATGTTGTCCCAGCGTGTGGGCCCTTTAGCTGCATGGGCAGCCTCACTGTCCTCCACCTGGGCCTGAGGCCCTGACACCAAAAACTGATTGTGGAGCCACATTGAAGTTCCCCATGAGAGCCCAAAGATTACATGACCCAACAGCTCACTAAGGCAAAAGACTCCTTAAGCTTCTTTATGTCTCCTTCCATGAGGAGCTGTGTTGTCTTTATCTTGTCAACCTCCTCACGCAGATCCTGGATCAGAGTCATGTCCTAGGAGAGAGCAGTGGTGGCAGTGAGCCTCTGGGAGGGTCAGTGGAGACCCGCATGCCCTCGAGCCCTGCTGTGGTTTGCCAAGCACTGGGGACAGTGCAGGGCCAAGCTCAGCCAGGCTGGCAGGGCTCTGCAGGCAGCACGGTCCATGCATCTAGCAGGGCCAAGAGTGCTGAGCTTCCAACCAGCAGGCAGAGGGTACGGGCTGCAGTCTCAGATCCAAAACTTGCTCCCAGCAGCAGCTCACCTGGTTCCGTGACATCTGGACCTTGTTCAGTTCCCCTGACAAATGCCGCTGGCCAGCCTTTAACTTTTCAATCTCCTCGAGATGCTCGGAAACCACCAGGGTCTAGGAGAAAGCATGGTAAGGGACAAGTCACTGGTGAGTGTGTTTTGGAAATATGACTTGAGAACCACAGTGGTCTGCACTGACCTGTGTCTCCTGGAATTTCTTCAGGTTCTCTGCTAAGTGGGAATTTTCTGCCTTTATCCCACCAATCTCCTCACTAAGAACCTGTGAAGCAGTTCAAGAATCAAGGATGTCAGAGGTGATGGCCAGGGCAGCAACACCCCAAAGAGCCCCGCTGGCCAGCCTTTAACTTTTCAATCTCCTCTTGATGCTGGGAAACCATCAGGGTCTAGGAGAAAGCATTGTCAGAGACTTGTCTGTAGACAGTCTGTTGGAAATATCACCTTGAGAACCACACACCTGTGCCTCCTGGAACTTCTTCATGTCCTCTGATATGCGGGAGAGTTCTGCCTTTATCCCACCAAATTCCTCGCGAAGAACCTGTGAAGCAGTTCAAGAATCAGGGATGTCAGAGGTGATGGCCAGGGCAGCAACACCCCAAAGAACCCCACCCTGCCACGGGCAGCCCATGGCACAGCCGGGTGAGCAGGGAGAGTCCCAGTGCCACCCGCCCCAGCCGGGCTCAGTGCCAGAGCACTGAAGCCCATCCAGACAGCAAAGAGCCCCTGCCAGCGGCTCTGCCAGGGCAGTGAGGGCAGAGCCAAGCACGGCTGTGTGAGGAAGCAGAGAGGGGCTGTCTGCTGGGGGAGTGCCCAGGGGCGGGGAAGAGCCTCTACCTTGGACATGTGTTTCTTATAGTCTTTCATCTCCTTCTTAAATACTTTCAATTCAGCAGTAACATCAGCAAGTGAGGGGCCACTCAGCTGTGCCACATCAGCAAGTGAGGGGCCACTCAGGTGGCCCGGCCATGGCTCCTCACTTGTCAGGTACTGCACATCCAGGTGCTCCAGCACAGCCTGCAGCAGTTTTCTCATGGCTGCAAAATGGACAGCCCCATTGTTGGGCATCCCGATGGCAAGATCCAGCAACTGGGAGAGGCTGAGTGTGTCCAGGGATGTTGCCATGACTGCACACACTCTGTCCCTGATTTGTCCCAAGCCTTCCTGCCCAGTTGGGTCTGTCAGGGATGCTAAAATGTATAATGAAAGGGATAAGCAAAAGTGATGGTAAAAGAGTGGAGTAGCCAGCAGGCTCCTTCCTCATCCCTTGTCTGTCACAGACTGGAGCTTGCTCTGCTCATGCCCCTTTTCATCACAACTCCTGTTGCCAGGCAGCACACCTCACCCCTGGCAGCCACTGGGTCACAGACTCATGGAGTCATGGAATGGAATGGAATGGCTTGGGCTGGAAGGGACCTCAAAGATGCTCTCTTTCCAATCCCCTGCTATTATATTTATTTTTCTTGGGCCAGGTCTCATAAGCTCTCAAAAGAAATATAATACAGCCTAGGATAGCTCAGCTATTAATTTGGGGGCATAAAGTAAGCAGGATGACTTTTGCAGCAGTTTTAGAAACAAAAAGGTTTAATAAAAGGCAAAATAACAAACACAAAAACTCGAGCCAGGTGCAGAGGTTTGCTCTTGGTAAAAACACCTCACAAAAACACTTAGCTCTTTTGTTCTCTTCTTTTTCTACCTGATGGGTCAGGCAGGACTTTTTGGCTTCTATCCAATTAGATGTCCTCAAGTTTTTGTGGGAGTCCCTGAGGTCCTATGAGGTAGCTTTTCACCTAGTCGTTGAGAGAAACTTCTGAGTTTCATTCCTTTTTTGGGGGACAAAGGCTAGTTTTGCCACTCTGTCATTAGAGGGCACACTCCTACACCCTGCCATAGGCAGAAACACCTTCCACTGGCCAGGTTGCTCCAAGTCCCATCCAGTCTGGCCCTGGACACTTTCAGGAATGGGGCAGACACAATTCCTTTGGGCAACTTGTGCCAAGGCATCATGACCCTCGCAGGAAGAATTTCTTCCCAAAACCCAGTCTA